GGCGTGCCTTGGGCTAATGCCGTTTGGACTCCAGCAACTTCGGCACCGAGCTCATTTTTAAATTACCTAAGTCGCCAAACCCGCTGAAAATATGTACACAAGGGTTATTTACCATCCTGATTACAATTATGACACTCATTCTTGGCGCTGGCGCCAAGGGATGACACTACGATTACCTCTTGGGCTCAGCCTTAGCGGAGCGCAGGTAATCGTAGTGTCATCCATTAGCGCCAGCGGCAAGAGTGAATGTCATATTCGTAATCAGGATGTTAAACTACCCCTACATACAAGTTTTTAGCGGATTTGGTAACTTAGGCAATTTAAAAATGAGCTCGGTGCCGAAGTTGCTGGAGTCCAAACGGCATTAGCCGACTGATTGTGAAAGTACACCATGACGTGTATTTGCGGAATGAAAAAGTACAGCCTGTTCGCTGCGATCCCGGGTCGTGAGAGATACCCACGAAATACCCAAAATAGGGAAAGAACTTCCCGACACGCCCAAACGTCCGCAGTGAACAAGACTATAATGGTTAGCGAAACCGACTTACCATGCTCAGCTTGTCAACAAATGAGCCGTGCTCGTTTGACAACTGTCCCGCAGGAAAGTAACGTTTGATGGCCGCGACGATCTCTGGAGATCTTCGTAGGTCTTCGTTGAACGCTCGTGCAAGACCTGGAGATATCCCTGATAAAAACAATGGAAATTTGAACTGTGTGAATCACAACTAACCTATATAAGTCTTGTCGTCATGCGTAGGTCCTACGCCACCAGTAGTGAATACGTAATCGAATCTTTCACTAAAAGAACGGATCTCATCGCTGATATCGTCGACATTATCGCCGATTGATGATATCTACAACGAATCAATAAAAAACTACAGAAAATCAAGGACGTCAAGATAATGCTGGTTGCTTATGAGATCTCAGAAGAATATAGTTGTAACAAAGGTTCAGAAGAAACAGAGAACACGCGAAAGTTCCAACGCTCTTCCAGAATTATCGTTCACGGTAAAAAAAAGTTCCGAGATTAGCATATCAATACGTACGGTGATTTCGGCTGCGCTACAACGAGAGAACAGGGGAGGACATGTGAGGAAAATGGATTGGAGGCTCAGCCTTGCGTGCCTTGTTCCGCATGCAACGGATGCATCTTGAGCCTCTAACAGTTGTGGAGAGGCGTACCCTCCCTGCGCTCTAATGCTTCAAAGCCGTGGCGTTTTTTGTAGATATAATGAGTGTTGGTGCAGACGACCTTTCAATAGATATACCGGCGCTATTTTTAACTAGAAGAATAAAGTTTCCGGCATTCATCAATGCCTTACTGGAATGGACGCGTTGTGTACTCTACCTTCCCAGACAAGTCGTCGCCAACCTAGTTCCGGGTACCTATATCATTACTTCCGCGTAGCGGCAAGCATGGCGAGGAGCAGTGGGAGCACGTGCGCCATTTGCACAGGGACCCAATCATTTGATGAAGCAGTATCGCGTGTGTTACGTCAACTAGCCAGGAAATCGCACCAGTCTGGACGTCAGTCTGCCGAGACTTGGGATTATGAACGCAATCACTTGGCGACTATACGAACGCTCAGCGAAAGCTGGAAACTGCAGATGCGAAACTCACAGTCGCTCAACAGGAGCTTGGCGTGCAGTTGCCCAAAGGGCTCTCATCGAGCGACTAGTGGCGAAGTATGAACGCACTCTGATGAAAGGGGTATGCGTCAGACCCCTGTGTCTCTCTTTCAATATAGCACAGTTGACGGGAGGAACGCTGCAGTCTATCCTCCCAGACCAAACGTAGTCGCTCTGCCGCGTGGTATACCTGATCCAGAGGGCTGCACACATATACTTTGCGACTCGCGGTTTTGGGAGAATCAACATTTGAGTGAAAAAAAATTGTAAAAGTATCGATCCACGCTCAAAATGCTGGCTATTCCACCATGCCAATTCTCTCAAAGCGCTAACGAACGGAAACGCTAATTCTCCCAAAACGCCGATTGGAAAAGTACTATGAACGCAGACTTAAGCCGACGGGTCTGCTACCGACTTACCGACCTTGAAAAGATTGAAGGCTCGGTCAGTTTACGCGTAGGTCTGCTAGCGACTTACCGACCCTGAAAAGATAGAAGGCTCGGTCAGTTTACACGTAAATCGATTTGATTGCAAGCATGCCGAGCCACTTTTTACCAAACTAGTTCCGTGTTCTTCTAATCTTGTTCACATTAATCAGTAACTAGGAAAGCCTATAGAAGGAAAGTCTTTGAGGACTGCTCTGAATCCAGAACCAGCGAAGATCTACTTTTTCGAATGTTCTCTGCAAGTGAAACAAATTCCTTTCCTGCGCAACAATGAAATCGCAATGAAAAGTACTGAATAGTTACCATTATGCTAGTTTACTAGTTGTACAAAGGGAATAAGACACACTAGGAGCGACAAAAAAGACGGTAATCACGTATACGCTAGGCGACAAAAAGAACAGATTAGTAGGAAGCAATCAAGACTCTCTTAATGGATGTTGCTAGTAGAACATCAACACTTCTAGACAGCAAATGAAATCGCTAAAATATTGTCTATGCAGCCTCGATAAGACAAAGTCGTAAGTGAGAAACTACAGAGGAGTGCCTAGTCGAGTGAACGGTGAAAATCAAGTGGTTCATTGAGTGGTGCACTTTTTATGCTGAAATTCGTCATAGAAAACAGGTGTCGCACACTGAGACAGGTCCGCCATCATTTTTTCACGTACACGTGATTTATTCTTACGATAGACTAGGTCACGGCTCTCATCATTTTTTCAAGGACAGCGTTATTTTATTTTACGACAGACTAGGTCACGGGTCTCAAAGAACGATCAGCTACAGAACTTTCTTCGATTCTGGCTTTGATGGGATGCTTACACCCTCGTGGATATCTGAATCACCCGAAAATCGTAGGCGTGTAGCGCGGGAGGTTTACGTTGGGTCGCGCTGCTAAAGCGACATGCAGCGTCACCTCGGTGCGCGTGTTATCTGAAATCAGGACCTAATGATAGTTAGCGCAAAAAATGCATGCAGATACTTCGAGCGAATATGCCATATCTGACAACACGTATTGGAAACTGTGCGCCATATCTGTATGTGTCATGACAAGCTGAGGCCACGGACTTTCCCAAGGTCCGTAACGAGGAGAGGCAAAGACAATCATAACTTCGGCGCGCTATCGCGCGCGCGCCATCGGCTTGGAGCAGCGGAACTCATGTGGATTCAAACGGAGGCAAATCTCAACGTCGAGTGAGTGTGAAATTCTTTCCTGTCCGTCAAAGTTTGTATTCAAACCGGCGGTCAGGACAACTCATCTTTCGCGCGCGCGACCTCGCTTGCTACGCCCAGCGCGGCATGTTACGATTGTCTTGTGACGTGCCCTGTATAACCATGTTAATCGCGAAACTTCGATGGCACCCCGAAGTGTTTCCTACCTAGCCAATTTGACTTAGTAAATGTTGTAGTATAGATAACCTTTCACGAAGTGGAAGAGAGAAAAAGAAAGCGAGACGTTTATGAAAGCTGGTGCAGAAAACGACAAAAACCGCCATGTCACAGAACTTACTTTTTTAACCTGAACGCCGAGCTGATGCAGATTTTTACAGATGAAATGGGAGTTCGTGTCCATTGTTGATCCTTTCAATATTTCATCGCCTATTACTGAAACATGTACTTCTAATTAAATAATTTTCTAAGAATTTTCGCAAAAAAAAAAACTGAAAATGGTAGGAAACTCACCAATAAGACCCGCTGTTGGCCTCATTTCAGAAAGCCGGAAGCCGGGAACAATGGAAAGTTCTCAGTGATAGAGCTCTTAACATAACAGTGATGAGACGACTGCCTCGTGCTCACAGACCACTTTTCAGTGGGAATAAAAACGAAGAAAGAGAGATCGCGTCGTTAGAACAGGTCTCACATAGACGAGCAAAATCCAGGCTGTAAAGAAAAGTCCAAAGTATCATAAGCTGCAACAAACTACTTCTTCAAGCTCAGCGATTGGAGCACGGAGCAGCAGGATCTGTCACTTGCAGGCGCCGGCAGGGGCAGCTGCCGCTATCATGGCAACGTGAGTCACCCGAGATTCACCCGCAAGAGGTGCCTTGCCGTCCTGCCGTGACAGCAACGGGTTGTGGAACTGGTTTATTGCACGTACACACTTTGAATTCTTAACTGTTCGTCACTGATTTGCTGATAAGCGTTTCTCACCTCGGCAAAGTTCGGCTTGGTGGGGGCATTTACAAGTTCCCATCCTTTCCTGTCAGTGCATCTTGTACTGTAAATTCCTGTAAAGCTGTAATAGCACGAAGCTTCGTGTATATTTGACAGGAGTGCTACACGTAGTCATCAAGTATAAAACTGTAATTCACCAAGAACTAGCAAAAAAGCTAGCACTCTGCAAAATGTCCTTCCCAAGCCGAACAACGCCCTCGCCTCGTTTGCGTTATAACCTGTCCGGCTATTTCTGCGGGAAAAAAAAAGCCTGCTTCGAGCATCCTGTCAGGAGCGTCATCACAGCCCATATGATTCAAGTGCAGATCGACCCTACTCGCTTAGAAGCCAAGGACGTACCGAGTCGACTGGCGGGCTGTCTTGATAAAATTACGAAACTTTTTCAGAGTTCAGTTCGTGCGACCGTCATCGATGATGCTCCACCGCTAATGAGTTGGACCGCTGCAATTTCTTATTCAGACACACTTGCCTTCATTTTTCTGTCATGCACTATTGCTCATCCATTAGACTTCATATCCAGTGCAAACGTTGTTGAGGTGGACGCTTGGGGTCACATCTATGTCGTAAGTAATCTTTCACACATCCCCCTCAAGTGCTTTTTCTCCCATACCTAAATACCTTTACCTAACCTTACGGAACAATCGATTCGAAGGTGGACGAGGTAGAAGTTGCAACGGTCCAGCGGCTAGAAGTGGAGCGCTGTCACCCGCTAGACTCTAGCGATTTGTCGCTCCAGTCGCGAAGTATGACCTCTAATGGTGATGTCTCTTGGTTCCAATTCGGTTAAAGTGAGATTTCCATGTTTTGATTAATTCACCCATTTCAAAATGTCCCAGCCAGACCCATGCTTAAAAAGACGGAAAAAGTGAACGGACATGGAGAGGACGGTCTGGGCTAAAACCTTACATTAATCCTTGGCATTGATTTTTTTCTCGTCATTTTGCAGAAACTGGGGATCTGCAAGGACAAGGAAAGGGGGCGCTAGTTTGCTGCGAGAAGGAGGGAAGGGATTTAGTGAACTCTTACCAATCCAGCTTACACAACGCTATAGGGAAGATGGAAAGAAGCGTCGATGCACTTTACCATTTCCTAGCTTTACAGAAGTTTACAGCACATAATTCAAATTGTACGATATTTTGACAAGAGACCTACGCCTGAAAGCGTTCACGGTAAATTATGTTGGAAATGATCCTAAGAACAATGAAAATCGGGTGCTCTGGCCCTGACAGGGTTTACGATATCATCGAACAGCTGCACTGCTAACAATACTAAGTGGCCCCTTTTCTTCAGATTGAATGGTTTTAAGAACATAATAGGACTTTAATGCCGGTAACTCTATAATTTTCACGAAGATGGATTGGACAAGCGTTATGCATATGACTGACGATGTGCCGTACGACCGACCAATCCGTGATTCACATATGACTCACGCCGTCGTGCTGGTACCGATTTGAAAGTGTGCTTTTATGGCCTTAATATTTTCTTGTGAAAAAAAACAGAGATAGCCAATCTTTTTAGGAAAGGTTCACTTCTTTCACACACATTACATGTCACAAAAAAGCTAAACAGTAAGAACTCTCATTATTTATATACAAACTTTGCCAACAAAAAGCTACTGAACACACATACGCGTGATGTAACGAAACATCCATCGTTCGCAAGCGAGCGCGCACAAAACTAAACTTCTATCTCCTACCTAGTTGACAATGCCATAGAACTTCCGTGCTGAGTCAAATCTCTGGTGCGAATGTCGCTCACGTGATGGCGCTTGCAAGCCAAATCGCCGAAACATGGATGTAACGTCCCACATCCCGAATTACACTAATTATACCGCTTAACAACAAAAACAAATGCACTAGACGCACTATTTACAATCATCGAATGCACATTATGCCGCATTGGGTGTGCGGCTTATCAAGACAAGCTGTACGTGGGAATTTTCTACCACAATTGAGAAGAGGGGGGGGGGTAAATGCGTCTCCATAGGAAGAAAGAAATCGTACATGATGTCGCTTAAAGGACTTCTTGATTTGATTCTTTCCGTTGGACTAAGACTAAGCCCCGCGCCACTTTACCGTTCTCTGATTAGATGATCAGAAGAGCCTCTAAAGCTTGAGCGATTTGAGGCTAGCAGGTGGGTAGGAGGGGGGGGGGGAATTCCTCAACACCGTGGCGTGCCCTATAGGTCAATTCACCTTGACTGCGTTTCGCACAAGTGCAGTTAGAAAAACCATACGCTTCGCGACCGCGCTCACCTACCCTTACTGCGGACATCTTTGTGCATGATAGAGCCTCCTCTCATACTTATCAACGGCATATAATTCCAAGCAAATAATAAGAACTCTTGAGCGCAAGTCAATGGGAGGGGGCACTATTCTACCACAACTCCTTAATCCCAGCATTTTTTTGCTGAAATTCGTTCCTAAACCTTACTTAGTGCCCTAATTGTAAAAATAACATACATTTTTGGCGCCAAATGACACTACCGGAATTCGCAGGCACGAAATAACCCTTCAAAAATACATGACATTTTGAACATTTGTGCTTGGTCCTGTTGCGAAACCATGTTACGCTTAGAGGGACGTGGCAGCTCAAAGCCACAGAAATGTGCAAAAACCATGTGGCGCGAGCCCGTATGGGCTTTTTCCAAGGGAGAGGACTCCGGAGCGGCCGAGCCACTCACGGTTTGCGAAAAGCTTGAACGTGTGGGGTCACAACGACCAAGAATCCCATCCTGACGAGAGAGTGCAGAGAAAAACAGAAGGTCGACGCTTTCACGGGGATTAAGTTCAAGTTAACCGTGGACCTCAGGACAAAACCTGAGCAAATAAAAGATTTTGTTCTGAAGTAGAAAAGTGCCGAACTGATAACTGAACAAGCCATTTAAGGAACATGGTTCCACAGAAAACCCTTCAAAGAACATGGAAGTTTTGCAGTTCTGGTGCTCGTCCTGCTCGTTGCTTTCTCCTCTGCTTGCGACTTAGCGTTGATGGAGTGTAATCGGGAACATCCTCTACCTGACAGTGAACAAAATACAAAAACGATTAAACAACCATGGATAATTTCTGAGGCATCGTTCACATTCTGCGAACCTGCGTTTTTAGCGGAAGAAACTCTCTCGCGAAAAGCTTTTGATACGTATCGACAGGCGGTTCGGTGAACAGGGCACATCGTTGTTGGGGGGGGTTGGATTTGGTCGCCAGGGGGTCGTATTTGGGGGGGGCGGGTTGCGTGCACTTAGATACCCGGGGGGCGTGGCCACAGAGCTAAGGCTTCGAACTGGACGGTATGTTCTCAAAGTTTGTGCTGCAAATAGGTATTAGACGGGAGCACCGTTTACAAGGTAAACGTTCCTATTGTCTTCAAGGTGTGCTTAATGTTGATTTCATGATCATACGTAAGACCTGATAACCACTTTTTCGCCTCTGCCTAATGTATACCTTTGCAAAAAGCATAAATTCCAATCTAAGTTAATTCTTCCTCTCGGAACTTCTTAGTTCAAGCAGTAGAAACACACAGCTGTTTAATAAGAAGGAAATTATCGTCTCCAAGCTCAGGAAGAAGCGCTGAATTATATCCGTCCACGTCCAAGCCCTCGCCCTATTTTGGCCACGCCCACCGGGTATCTAACTAGGGAAGGTCGTCAGGTCGAAGTGGCCATTTGTGATGAGATGTAGATCACTAGACGTGGTTTTGGACGCTGATCTTGAATCTGCCTTCAAAATTTGCAAAGCGATTCTCTGAACGGAGTTATGGAGCCGCGTTTACCACGCAACAGGTCATGGGATCGGATCCCTGCTGAGCTTAACTTTTTTGCTTGTTGCGCAAACGTGGCAAAAAGTGATTTTGCCGTCACTACTACTTCAGTTCTCACCTGAGCTTGTCTGAAGAAAAGTTTGCCTCCATTTATTACTGCGCTTGGACTCCTTGTAGACTACAGTGCACTACAGTGCTTCTACAAGGAGTCCAAGCGCAGTAATAAATGGAGGCAAACTTTTCTTCAGACAAGCTCAGGTGAGAACTGAAGTAGTAGTGACGGCAAAATCACTTTTTGCCACGTTTGCGCAACAAGCAAAAAAGTTAAGCTCAGCAGGGATCCGATCCCATGACCTGTTGCGTGGTAAACGCGGCTCCATAACTCCGTTCAGAGAATCGCTTTGCAAATTTTGAAGGCAGATTCAAGATCAGCGTCCAAAACCACGTCTAGTGATCTACATCTCATCACAAATGGCCACTTCGACCTGACGACCTTCCCTAGTAAGTTCACGTAGCCTATTTGGGCTGAGAAAAATTTATTTTGATAGTTGATTTTTCTCGCTTCATGGACGTTGTAAAGGGAGGGGGTCGTATTTGATCATTTTTGGGAGGAGGGAGGGGGGTCGTATCTACGTTTCGGAGTTGTGGAGTGGCGGTTGACTTTTGGTGATTTTCCTGTTTCATGTACTATATGCCCACCCCCCTCCCCGCTCGACGGCTCGATTCGATGAGGAAGGAGGAAGGACAGAGGGCTGGGGGGGGGTACCAACTCCCAAAAAAAGGAGGGGGTCGTATAGAGATGACTAAAATCCCAAACCAATGATGTGCCCTGTCGGTGAAGAGTCGGCGGTTGCGCGAAACGGTTGTAATACGTATCGACGCGGCGATTCGGCGGAGCGGTTGGTCGAAAAACGCTAGCTCGACCGCCCTGGCGTTTTTCTCTAGGGCGGAGCCAGCGAAATCGATACGCATCTATTGCTTTTCGCCGAACCGCCGAACCGCGGCGGCGTTTCTCCAGAGCGGTTGGCGATTCTCCGATCAATACGTATTTACTGCTTTTCGCCGAACCGCCGTTTCGTCAGGTCGCAGACTGTGAACAATGCCTTACTGAAAAAAGGAACTTTCTTAATGACCTTGGTCAACAATTGTCAAATCACAACATATGCCGTCAACGAAGCGCTGTGTCATGACTGCAACCTCTCTGCATATACCGGAGATGGAGATGGCGTGGCAGAGTGCTTCCTTCGAATACAGCTTAGGCTGCGGTTTTCCTGGTATGTTTCCATTTGAAACAACTGTTATGTTATCGTGTGCTGTACAAACAGATGATTACAGCTGCCCCAACAACAACAACGTATTATCCCATCAAAGGGCCAGTCATCACCACACATGAACTACAGCAACGCCCACTCCATCTCCGGGATGCTGAGTGTAATTCCGCGCTGCCCCGCCTGGGGCGTGGAGGGGGGGGGATTTGCTTGTGCGGTAGTTTGTTCAGTTTTTCTCCTTGGTCAGACCTGCAAAGTCTTGCGAACTTACGAAACGGTATGAGGTTTTTTATTTGTGGCTGTATTAGCGTTATATGGGCTTACTTCTTTACAAGGTGGTCTGTCAACGCTTCGCTGAGTGGCATTTCATGGCTTCGCGGGAGTTTACAAGTGTGCACTTTGATGATATTTCTTCTCCCCCCCCCCAAGCCGCACAACGCCCTGATTTCCGTAAGCCCTAAAAACAGCTTCAAAAACAGGAGGGCGGAGCTTGGAAACGGCTTCAATGGCCGCTGCCCTCATCCCTCGTCTTCTTCACCGCCAGAAGGTGAGAAAGCGGTGAAGAAGACGAGAGGATGAGGGCTGATGGGCGGATAGAGCGCGCGAAACGTGGTTATTTAGTTTAGCTCACGCGGATTTCCTAACGGTATCCCCAAAAACTATTCAACAGTAATTGCATTTCTGCCTGTTCAATTTATCCCTGGCCAATTCCACGAAGCCTAGAATTTCTAGCCCTACCAACAAAAACACCAACCATCGCACACAGTGCTGATAACACACCCTGAGGTTTTCCAAAACTAGAGTGGATGGGGAAAATCAAATAGTTCTCCTAAAATTTCGGAAGCATTGATTTCAATTTCATAGTTTCGACTTCCGCATTTTGAGACCTGTCAGAAGCGAGGTGTTTATATGAAAACCACTTTAAAGGAGGCAAGGAGGCAGTGACTTTTTCTTGGAATAAAACGCTTTTCATAGCGCCTTCGAAACACTATTGTTTTGCGTTAGATCCGGTATTACTGGTACCGAAGCAAGCGGCTTTTAAACAATCACTACTCCTCGGAAATCTAGAATAAACTTTTCTCACCACTGGGATTTCCGGGTGCCAATTCTTGGCGTCTTTCTCCATCAACCGATACATCTCAGCGATTGTATTTTTACCATCATAGCAAATGAGTACCATAATTTCATCTTCAACCAACAAGATCCACTTTTCTCATAGTATCCTGGAAATGCTAAAGTTTACAAAAATAGCAATCACAGAAGAACAGTTGACATGCTTCTCGCAAGCTTTCTCAACAGGCAACATCGCCTAGAAATGCGCAATATAGTGTGAACTTTACTAGGAGGGTCTCGTTACGGCCCTTTCCCACAGCCTACTTACCATCTTACCAGAGTTAACAGATTTTCTCGAAATCTTTTCGTTAGGTCGAGCGGGGAGGGTGAGGGAATACATATTTGCGACCAATTAACTTCCACAAACACTATTTTGCTCCCTATTTTTTATGACACTAATTACGACCCCACACAACAACCTATTCCCCTGAGCAAATATAACCCCGGTGGAGCTTACAACATCAACAACAGAATGCTGAGTTATGGGCAAAAATCACGTCCACTCAAACCCACCTACGGTCGAACTCCCTGGCCTTCACGATTCCTAGTCATTTCTTACTGATCAGCACGAGGGAGAATTATGCTTTTGCTCGGCTTCCTTCTCAGTGGAATGCGCTGGACGTAAATTGACCTACCCGTCTGCTTTCGACCCCTTACCATTTAATATTTCTCGTTTGCCCGATATGGCGGCTCAGTGGGTTTCGGTTCTATGAGGTTGGAACCTCCCTAATGATGGTCACACGAGTAGAAGTGCGGTTTTGGAGCTCTTGATGACTTGAGGGAAGGAGATGGGGGAGAGGGGAAAGTAGAGGAACGGAGAGGATCGGGAGACGATGACAACCTGACGAACGATTTCTGATTTCCAATGATTTTTCTTTGCCTGGACGGGCACAGGCACATGGAGAGCTTCAACGTGAGAGATGCAGATGCAAAGGGAGAAGGGATAGTCGACGCGTCGCAATATTACTACATTGAGTGGGTTGGGTCCCGATGAGAATGCAGCATACGCCAATCCGCTTGGGGTTCTCATCTTGCCGCAATCCCGGAACTTGGAAGTAACGCTCCACATCCGGTCGATACTGCTAGCATCTCTTTTCGATGACGAATGGCAAAGCAAAATGCATATACTCACCATATCGAGGTGCCTCACGAGAGTTATCTTGTAGATCTCTCCACTAACACCTCGAATGCTAATGACGAGCGATATCCACTCTGGATCTGGCTCAGCTCCAACAGAAGTGCAACTGTCCATATTTGCAATATCGTATAACGTCAGTAGATGGATCAAATCCGATCCTCCATCGTACGTTGTCTTCAGAACACGCTGAAATAAGCCTTTTTGCAGAGATGTACGGGCCTTGTAGACGAGAATTCTGCAAAGAATGGGAAGGGGTCGAAAGCAGACGGGTCTGGCCTAACTAATAAATGTAAGAAGTAGAAGAAGAAACGAGTTATTGAAAAGGCTGACCACTGGCATATTATCCACAACAGGAACAGTAACAGTGGCACGAGATGTTCTTCCAAACTTCGTTTTCACGAATGCGACGATAAATAGGGCAGTTACGGCCACCACTGCATAATCATATAAAGGAACTACGACAATTAAGTCTTTTTCTACTAAACTCGTATTTGTGAAACTCATGGCATCTGTAACTGACGGCGGGCATGGGGAGGCAAAGCTGTTGCGCCATCGTATCTCGTGAACTCAATTCGCGCTGGCTCGTCACCATAACTTAGCTGTAAAAAATTATTTCGAATCAACGTATAATATTCAGCATAATTCGTAATGTGAAAGCCATATTGGTTACTAACTACAATTAGCTGCAGGGAAATTCTGTGCGATCATTCAAAGGACTCCTTCGGGAATATGGTGAGAGGACATCTGTCAACTGTGCTTATTACGTAGCTGCGAGGTTCCAAGGCTGGTATATCTGACTATAGTTAAAGGGGGGAATATGAAAAGGAAGATAAAGGATGAAGGCAGAAGAAAGGAGGAAGGACAAAAGAAGGAAGAGGGAGGACTCCGCTTGACAGATTGCTCCTGGAGACAAGGGAATAGGGTCACAGTTATGCAAATAGAATTGTCGCACTTCAAATTGGCTCACTCATCCTAGAGTTCGTTGTCCGTTAATTCTAGTTTTCAACAAAAAATACTTGTCCTGTACAGACTCCTTTGTCGGGCTATGCTCATATAGAGGCCAGGGCTGCATAGTTTGATGAGAGGCGGAGCCGATTCCTTGTCGCTCGGCCGATACGAATCTCTGGCCGGTTAGTGACTTTTTGAAGAGAAAGGGCGCACCCTGCTGCGCACCCTTGTAAGCCTTCTCACTAAGGACCAGGAACTTTTAAACAACAACACACCTTGCAACTTCATAACAGGCAAGATGAATGCCTTCGAATCGCAAGAAATTCGACGAATCATCTTTGCAAAGCATCATCGTTGAACCATCTATGGCCAGCGCCAGCGCTGTTGTGAGTTCAAAGTGGAGCGAAAATCGTGAAAACCCGGGCCTGAGAGTATTCGTTCATAAAATATGGCATTTTAAGAGAGATACCAATGGCTAAGCGGTCAATAAATCAAAAAAATGCACTTACAACTTCGTTACTTGATATCTCCTGAAGAACGTATTCTCGCGAGGGTTAGACACCAGAAAAATCACCTGTAATAGAATTTCAAGAACTTAATGATCCCTTCGTTCCATACGTTAAACTGTGACATTTCTGAAGCGCAGGGAAGAATTCGAGACAGTGGCGTTAGTCGTTGTGAGGTCAAAATCTTGTTTTTGATCAACACGCGTCGCGACCGCATGCGACTAGACTAAGCCACACAAGTGATACCGGGCCTTTATTTTTTGAAGACATATTCCATGATTACAGTTCATGAGCTTATGGTTCAAATATGAATTCGCTGACCTACCAGTGAAAAAAGTAGACAAGTCCGTCGGAGGCGCCCTAGATAAGGTCCGAGCGGAGGCCACGCCATGAATCTGGCTGTCTACGCCTTGGAGTAGATAAACACTAGTCAGCGAAGCAGATGATCAGCTATAGTCACTCTGCCGCATCCCCCCCCCTCACCTCCCCCTCCCCCTCCTAACCTCAACTACGTTAGCGCCCCATACTCACCTTTTACATCCAACAACTGTCTGGGCCTTGTAGATAGTTTGACGTTGAAGCCGATATTCTCACAGCGCTCAGAGCCTCGAACTGGATCATACACTTGAGTGCAGTGCTGTAACGATCCAGGAATGAGAAAAATCAAAACCAGTACAGTCACATAATGATGAAAAAAACTAACAAAAAAGAAAGAACATACATTCCTGTAAATCTCATCAAAGCTGTATAGGCTGCAACTGTGCGGTGAGCTATTGAACGTTACGAGGACGTCGTCTTCAAGCCCTGCTGCATGTATATTTTGGAAAACCTAAACGACAAACAATTTGGCAATAAAACAGAGGAAGATTCGAAGTCAAATTCCAACCGAAATTCGGTATAGAACAATAGATCGCGGCATCGCGCGCGACCTACAGACAACTTCAACTTATTTCCTTTGAATAGCGTCAACTTTCTGTTTTTCTCTCAGGCATATATTCTACGAAAACTGTGACCTTACCATTCCAACTTTTCACGCAATAAGTGCTCATCTATCCCGGAATTCCATTCCTTGACAAAGCTCATTTACTTGCTTGCTCGCGACTTGTTTTTTTGCATTTCGATCGTCGTCCGCAGGTACATTTCCTCTCTTCTCTGCCCTGTGGCCTTCGCGCCTCCATGGCCCTGCACCAAAAGTTCTAGTTGTCCGATCATCGCTTCGCTCCTGCCGTCGCAAGCATTCTACTGCCTGGTTCCGCCTGACCGCTAATCCGTTTTCCGCAAGGTTTTAGTGACCATGACAGCCCAACGTCTCTTGCTCTTTCTCATTTCATCTACCTTGTACCAGACTTCTCGTCCCTTCTCTATCCTCTGTACTACCCTGGTGCCCACTCAATGAAAATTTTCTCTTGCATCTACCAGGCTCCTCACTTGCACGACCAAGACGTGAAATAAACGCCCCCAGTACGTTACTGCTGCCATCAACCGTACATTGACTTTTGACGCAAAGGGCCTCACAGTGTGCAAACTAGTAGGCCCAATACTCAGCCGGATGCGAGAAGATGACGCGCTTAGACGCCTCAGAGTCACGTCTCAGGCGTCCCAATCCATTAAGCATTCGTTGACCTTCAAGCTTAGCTTTACCTGGGGCCAGTCCTTCACACATCGCCGCGTGAGTAAGCTGCCTGCAATTTCCACGATTTCTCGCCATAGAGCCCTACAGTAAAACCCCCCCCGACGAACGGTGCAAAGGCTAGCTCACATTTTATCGTCAATTCGAACGAGAGCTTTAACAAGTGGTGGCTTGAATCCTCGAAACAAGCTTCCGATCGACTCTGCCGACCAATTCTGCTTTCAGACTCCCTGCAAACAATAAGATAATGAGCTATTCAAATAGAACAAAATCAGCTTTACACAGAAATCGCCATGCTGTTAAACATTTTCTTACGAGTGTTGTGATCCACTCATTCACTGAAAAAAAAAACTGAATTGTTATCAAAAAGGGAATTTCAGTGACAGCCCATACAATGCTAACCATCTTCATTTCCTGGTAGGACGGCTCTACCTAACAGCCACACTTCAGAAAATGCTTTATTCCAATGAATATGTCTGAAGCAGTGAGAAATAGCAACATCTCATGAAGTACGGGATTGCTTAGGGAAAATCTACTTTGAACTATCTTCAGACTTACTTGAACTTGAAGCGACGAATAGGTAACTGGAAGGTGTGCAGGCACTCGCCACTATGGATGTTGCAGAATCGTAAACGACCAAGATTTGAAAGGACGAGTAAGAAGCTAGTGGGGACAGCTCCGTCCTAAAAAGATTAATTTCACTTTACTTTGATGTACCTTGACAAATATTTACTGCAATACAGCTTTGTTCGCTGTGGTTTATGGGAAATGTCAGCACAACCGCGTCTGGCGGGCTGCTAGCCCGTCCTCCACCAGTACTTGAAGCAGGTAAGCGACTACAACTGATGGAAAACGGGTTCAGCGCCGCCCCAAACCCATCCCGCCTAACTCACCCCTCCTTCCGCAACGAACAACAAACAAACAATCAGCTGAAGACTAGATGAACAGTTCGGCACAATTTACTCTTCACTGTCCTACTTTTCGAGGCTAGGCCAGACTTTGATCAAAATTCTTACACTCTTTCGATTCGGCTGGAATTTTGTCTCGACCGAGGAAGGGGGGGGGGCAGACCTCCAAACAAAATATCACCAGCACAAGTGCAAAAAATGTTCAGCGCTCACACTACAGACTCCAGTGGCAGTACAACTCAAACAACGAGAGCTGCAGAAAACCTGCCCCACGGATGATAGTTTGATCACCAGCTTGGCCCCACAAGCGCGGACGCTGGAAGTAGTTTAAAGCGCCAGCGGCCCTTTCAGCACATATACTCGCTTACGGCGGTACAGACCAGTTCCCTCGTCGATGCCCGGAGGGCCAGGCTGGTGATCAAGCTATCACTGGGGGCGCTAACCTCGAGGACGAACCGTGATAAATTTATCCTCAGTTCCTCATCGAAAACAGAAGTGAGATAGTAAACGATGAATTGAATGGCGACTTGGAAAGAAAATGGTGCTAATGTAGCTGGGGGCGGGGGGGAAAGAAGAAGAAAAAGACCGCCTCTTCTTCCTGCTCTCTTGC